CTCATTCCGTCACCCTCACAGCTCTAGTACATGACTCTCCTTGTGATAGAGATCCAGAGGTGGAGGGAATAGAGTATAAGTATATGTGAGCATGGTTTTTAAAAAGAAAAGAGGGCCAGATTGCACATTTTCTGTCATTAGGGAATAACTGTTATTACTATCAGATACAGTCCCCAGAATTTTTGAGTTTTTCAAGTTCGATTCCAATTTTTGGCTCGTGTTTAGGGAGTTGGCAGAAATAAATTTTGAAGCCTCTGAGATCCCAATATCTATAACCTTAAGCAGAAAGCAGAAAGCTTTCTGCCGCACTAATGATTGCGAAAGGGAATGGAGCACACCATGAAGCAATACTGGAAGAAACAAAGGGCTTCCAATTTTGCTCAGTTTTACCTTATTTATTTTCATGAAATCTTACAATTATTAATTATGATGAGTTTAGGTTCCATATTTTTCTTTTATCTGCTCTTCCTTGATCTTGCACTTTTTTTCTGCTCAAAGACAGGCAGAAAAATTCTAGTCCATGCCAACTAAAAACTCTTTCTCTCTTTAGTCCTGTATGTATGATGTATGATAAAAATGTAAAGTAAATAATATTGAAACAGAGTTAAAAGTGCATGAATATTTATGATATTCCACCTGTGAACATTGGACGTTGAGTTGACATTGTTTTGTCCTAGGCAAGGAGTTGGTGTCACCCTGATATATGTAGACCAAAATTCTGTTTTTACCCTGTTGCAGGAAGACCGTCCAACGCAGTTGCATCTGCGCTTGACATCAGCTAACCAGCCGTTAGCTATGAATGCTGAATTGGCGTCACAGCACACAGCATGAGAAATTGCCCCTTTTTCTCATGACCACAGGAATGTATCTGGTAAGTTTTTAATTTTTATTTTATGTAATGTTAACACTTTACTGTCTCTCTGCCACCTCCATATATACAGCCTATTACTTGATCCTAAAATATTGTGTGTTGATTGTAGTGGTGGGAAGTGGAAGAGGCAAATCATCAGAGTGTCATTTACAGTAATGCTGCTTAGTCTTAGTAAAATAGGAAGTGAAGCTGGTTCTTGTCCAAAGGGATTTGCCTGGACTTGATGCTGGCCAT